ATTACTTGACAAGTTTAAAATTTCTCTCTCTGATGTCATTTTATTGCAGTTATAATTTAACTTCATGTGTTATATTTCTGTATGTAAGTTTGCCATTTGGTAAGGAAATGTGTAGTGAAATAGGACTCTTCAATTGGACAATTATTTTTATGGCCACCAGGTGTCATACTAGAGCTGCAGATCTTTGGTTCAGAAACGAGAGTCAAAACTAACACCACAATCCGGACGATTCAAGGTTGTAAAATTTTGTCAGAACAAGACTGACTCAAGTTTAATCTTTCTCATAATCTGTTTCAGCTTCCCAACCTCTGAAAGAACATGTGTTTCCCCCACCCTATGCTTACAGATCCCCTGCAATGACCCCAAGTCAACATCAGCTTAAAACATACAAATAAAGTTTTTTTTAACACCAAACAATTCTACTCAATATGTTGAATTTTTTAGCATGATCAGTATTCCCTGATCATGCTAATCTCAAGTAGAAGTTAATGGAAAGAAGACTCAGAGTTAGCTATTTTAAGTATCGGTGAGGCGTTAGATAAATGTCACAGGAAGCAAAATAAGAATCTATTAGAAAGGCAACTGTATGTTCAGCCGATGTTTCCAAGCTTTTTCTTCAAATTTCATCAACAGAGAGTTAGTCTGCTGCTTGTTTCCTTTCTCTTGATGTTTTGTACTTAATCAGTTTTAGGAATCAAACCCAACTTTTGTGCGGATGCGAAACCCGGAGCTGCCTACCACAGGATGTCATTTGTACCTCAGTGGAATCGTTTTTGAAGTGGCAAATAGAGCCAACTTTAGGCTTACGTTGATCATTTCTTTAACTTCTGACCTTTCAACCTCTGTCTCTATGGTGAATATGCTAGAGACAGCTTAAAACGTCAACTTCAAATCCTTTAGCTTGGGATGTCACCTAGTATAATTCAAGAAAACTCACAGGGGTAAGATTACATTTTTTGTCCTGAAAGTTGTTGATAATGGCGGCTATAATCTGTATTTTTGAGAGAACATTTCTCAAAACGACAGCTTGAAAATCCTTGACTAGTACAACAAAACTGCAGTACCTACAGAAGCACTCGAACATACATTTGAATTACCATCAATGTCAGCTGCAATGGCCTTGTCCTGGAGCTAAACCATAAAAAAGTATAAAATGCCTCAGCATTCTGCACAAAGCAGGATTTGTAAAGACCAGTTGGTAGCAATTTATTTATATCAATGTGTAAATGGGATTTAAATTTGCAATACCGAGTCTAACTGCAAAGCCTTGACATACATTACTTACTGGTGATACTAAGACAGGATGAAGAGGATAGATAACAATATCGGGTCATTCTAGTGCTAATTCTGATTTCTTAATACTGGTGAAGCTTGGTGTTTTGCTGCTTTTGTCTTGAATTAAGGAGATGTGAGGAAAAGTTTCAGACAAAATGGTCACTTTATTTCACTTGTTTCTCTGAGGTCTCTCCATCTTAGGTCAGTAAAGAGATTTCTGGATGCTTCACCATTTCAAACAAAGAAATTCTGCTGTAGATTCCAGTTAGTCTTGGAACCGGTTTGGTTGGGGGGGGGGGGGGGGTAGATTTGGGTTTTTTTTGCTGGTTGGGGAAGGTACGT